GTTAGGATGGGGTTCAAAAGACGGAATCCCAAACAGGGCTGGCAAAGTTTAGGAAATACCTGCTGGGCCAGAGAGAAGAGGTCCTGATGCAGGGCAAGCACAGCCCGATAGAAGGCGCCGTCATGGGTGTCCCTTGGGATCATGCAAGTGTACTCTTCCATGCTGTCCCACTGCCCTGGGGAAAGGGGAAAAAACAGCCCAGCTTGAACCAACGGGAGGATCTGCTTTAGCCTAAGACAGGGGCGGGCAACCTGGGCTCTTTTAGGAATGGTGGACTTCAACTCCCAGAATTCCTGAGCCAGCATGGGGGAACTGTGGCCCCCTCATAACTCGTGGACTTCAACTCCCAGAATTCCTGAGCCGGCCTGGCTCAGCTTGGAAACCTCTCCCTTTCCCCTCAGCATGGCTGGCTCAGGAATTCTGGGAGTTGAAGTCCACAAGTCATGAAGGGGGCCCTAGTTCCCCCATGCTGGCTCAGGAATTCTGGGAGTTGAAATCCACCAGTCATAAAAGAGCCAAGGTTGCCTTCCTCTGGCCTAAGAAAACAGGTTTGGCCGTAACAATCGGCCGGGTCAAAATATCCTGAGCTTGGTTAATGCTGATCTTGGTTTGTTCAGACTTTGTTGCCTTTTCACATTCGTCTGCAACATTCGGGATCTTGCAGCCCACCCGATTCTAGAAGGCTTGGCTAAACGGGGCCAAATAGGGTGTGTGTGTGTGTGTGTGTGTGTGTGTGTGTGTGTGTGTGTATACAGAAAATAACGATAATTTTATGCCAGATGAAGAGGGAACCTGGGACATTGTTTGATTTCATGGCTCAGGATGGTGCTGACGTTTCTGCAGAAGTTTGAGAGAGCCTGTCAGAATCCAATTATATTTCATCTCTAGTTATCAATTATAGAAAACCCCATTTCTGCCTTCCCTGGATTCTGTCATACAAGGAAGGGGAGGGGGTGAACAAAGGGGCTTTATGGCCCTCACTTCCTTCGGTACACTTCAAAGGAACTGGATGTGTGTATCACCAAAAGGACTAACCATAACAATGGGGCTATTACCTTTCATCTAATCCTCTCTGAAGTCTCCCTCCAGCCGGCAGTAAGGAAAAGGGGGTGGGAGTGTAATGCCTGAGACTGTCGCTGGAAGAAGGGGGGGATTGGGTGGGGCTGCTGGGGAACCCCTTAAAACCTTGAATGGGAGAGCTTGGACCCCAAGTCCTGTCTAGAACGCCTGCAACCATTTTCTCTTAATAAAGGATGCCTGTTGGAAGAACCATTCCAAGAGTTCTGCCTTTTTAAGATGCAAAGTGGGGTGGGTCCTTACAGAGCCCGTTTCACGCAGCCAAATGTGGGACTGCCTCTGCAAGGCTCCCTTGGCTAAACCTGAACCCCAGGGATTCCGTCTCCCCCAATTCCTGAAGAGCGAAAGGTGGGGTGGACGGTCACCTAAGCCCCAGGCCGCCGCTGCCGCCATCCTGGCCATTTTGGCTTGCGTTTCGTCATTCACCAAGGTCCACTTCTCACAGCACTGCTGATGCAGCTGCCCCCTACGACCAGACACACAAGAGCCGAGAGTTATAAACCCAGCAGAAAAACGTCCGTCCACCCACACGTTTATTTTATGATTCAATTTACGTGTCACCCATCTCGTTGCTCAAAGCGAGTCTGGCGAGGTGAAATCCGCAGGTCTTAAAGTTGACAACTGGTGTGAAAATAAAGAGCCCCATGGAAAGAGACTTCCAAGAAGGGACAGAGAATAACAATGCTGGAAGGGACCTTGGAGGTCTTCTAGTCCAACCCCCTGCTTAATAATAATAATAATAATGATGATGATGGTAAAGTTGGAAGGGACCTTGGAGGTCATCTAATCCAACCCCCTGCTCAGGCAGGAAACCCGACACCATTTCGGACAAATGGCTGTCCAGTCTCTTCTTAAAAACTTCCAGTGTTGGAGCATTCACCGCTTCTGGAGGCAGGTGGTTCCACTGGTTAATTGTTCTCACTGTCGGGAAGTTTCTCCTTAGTTCTAGGTTGCTTCTCTCCTTGGTTAGTTTCCATCCATCGCTTCTTGTCCTGCCTTCAGGGGCTTTGGAGAATAGCTTGACACCCCCCCCCTTTCTTTGTGGCAACCCCTCAAATACTGGATCACTGCTATCATGTCACCTCTAATCCTTTTAATTAACTTAGACACAGCCAATTCCTGCAATCATTCTTTATATGTTTTAGCCTCCAGTCCTCTGATCATCTTTGTTGCTCTTCTCTGCACTCTTTCCAGAGTCTCAACATTTTTTTTTATATTGTGGTGAACAAAATTGGATGCAGCATTTCAAGGCGGGCCTTAGCAGATGCTCCCGGGGGCAAAACACATGGCTGGGCTCTTACCATTCTCCCAAGGCTTCCAAGCAACGCATGCGGCCTAGCATCAGCTCTGGATCATCCTTGTTGGTATCCATCTTTTTGTCATAGGCCACAAGGGCATCTTCCCATTCGTGTAGCTTCTCGTACCAGGTGGCCTGGATTTCCTGGAAGGAGGGACCAGTAAATGGGGGGGGGGGAAGAAAACTCAATCCCAAGATATCCCCAACTGGCATATAGCAACCATTGGCAGTTGGGCAGCCCAACTGTAATTAACCAGCTGAAAACCTCTGCCATTTTGTTTAGCTGCCCTGAACCTTCTTAACAAGTATTTCTCAACCTTAGTAACTTTAAAGCAAGGGTCTTCAAACTTGGCCCTTTTATGACTTGTGGACTTCAACTCCCAGAATTCTTCAGCCAGGCACGCTGAGGAATTCTGGGAGTTGAAGTTCACAAGTCATAAAAGGGCCAGGTTTGAAGACCCCCGCTTTAAGTTTTTGTGAACTGCAGCTCCCCTCATCAGAAGCAACGGAGAAGTACTAAATAATGCCTAACATAAAATACCAATATTGTCAGCATGTTTACAGTTTTGTGGGTTTGAAAAAGTGCTGCCTTACTCCTGTTTTTTGCTAACTTTAAGGAGCTTCATTTTTGATAATGGCAATAAGACTACAAAAGTTTGGGTTTTTTTCCTCTTTTTTTGACTTTATGTGCAGGCTCCGGCTTTTTCGATTCAGCCTTTGGCAGTTCCTGCTGTGACAGTTGCCAAGCAGTGGATTCCTTCTCAGCCTGCAGGCAGGATCACAGCGCACACGCTGCCCCTCCACGTGAGACAGGAAGTTTCCAAACGCGCAAGCCGACGGGCAAAAACACAGCGGGATCGCTTACCAGCTCCCCAAAATGCTTCATGGCGTATTCCAGCACTCCAGATGCGGCCTCCGGTTGCTGCAGTTTATTGTTTATGCTGAAAAGAAAAAAAAGAGGAGGATTGGAATGCTTTCTATTATAAAACGTAAGTTCCCAAGATTGGGAGACGTGGCTGCCTTGCTGGCTTTTTGTAATGTTCGCTTTTATTGAACGGGACTCGTTCCTCGATGTATTCTAAGGGTAGCTCCTGTTAAGAAACAACTATGGAAAGAAAGCAAGATGTTATCCAGCAACAGTAGAGCAAAGCAAAAATAATAATAATAAAAAAAATAGCAGTTGTTTTAGGGCAGGGGGTAGGCAACCTTGGCTCTTTTATGACTCGTGGACTTCAACTCCCAGAATTCCTGAGCCAGCTGTGTAGTTAAGTCGAGGATTATCTGTTCTACACAAGGGTGGGTTGCTACAGCTACATACCCTCCTAATTAAGCATCTGTCCCAGGGGTCTTCACACTTGGCCCTTTTAGGACTTGTGGACTTCAACTCCCAGAATTCCTCAGCCAGCGTGCACTGGGAGTTGAAGTCCACAAGTCCTAAAAGGGCCAAGTTTGAAGACCCCTGATCTGTCCTGTAAAGGACAGCAGAGAGATAAAATGGCTTCTTTGCTTCCTTATTCCCACTTCATTCTTTTCCTTCTCACCCCCACTTTGTCTGAAGCATCCCGTCACTCATATTGGAAGGGAATCCATCTAGCGCTCAGCTAGGATCCCAAGATGTTGTCTCTTGTGCTGGCTAAGCAGATTCTGTTATTAGGAGCGCATGGATCCACAATCTCAGATTATGAGCCTGTGTGGAGAAGGCCCAGCATGGACAATAACCTCAGTCATCCACTCCCCATTCGAAAGACAAGTTTTGTTTTGTTTTTTAGTTCCTAAGCTGTCTTTTAGTGCCTTGTCAACACCCATGTTATTGATGAAACAGCAAGTTGTGTTTGTTCTGCCCAAAATATGGCTATGGACAATAAACCGCCTTGGTTCCCGGGGAGTGAATAAAGAAGCTTTCCTTCTTGAGAAGAAGAATCAACAACCTGCTATAAAAGCGATGAATGGCTGTCACGTTTGGTTGGACAGCCCGGAGCATCTCAGCTCTGCCTCTTGGGCAATTCATCACTTCCAACTTTATCTCTCTTTTCAACTGCCTTCTGACAAATAGGCCATTATCCTCTTTCTTTTTTCTCCTCTCCCCCTTTTCACTACAATTGTCGCTGCTCCCTGCCCTCGGCTGGCTGAGCGTGGCTTTTCATTTTGTAACTTGTCAACGGGGAAAAGGAGAGGAAATGCTTTATGTTTCAAACTTGACTGAGCTCAAGTGATTTTTATTCTTAAATTCCAGGAGAGGGGGAGAGAGAGAGAGGGAAAAAAAAAGGAAGAAGAGGGAGTCAAGCTATTTTCCAAGGTGCCTGAGGGCAGGACAAGAAACAACGGGTGGGAACTAATCAGGGAGAGAAGCAACCTAGAACTAAGGAGGAACTTCCTGATAGAACAATTAACCAGTGGAACCACCTGCCTCCAGAAGTGGTGAATGCTCCAACACTGGAAGTTTTTAAGAAGAGACTGGACAGCCTTTGTCCAAAATGGTGTAGGATTTCCTGCCTGAGCAGGGGGTTGGACTCGATGACCTCCAAGGTCCCTTCCAACTTTATTACTATTGTTGTTGTTGTTGTTATTGTTATTAAGGTGTTGCCATTTCTACAATCCTCTCTGGTGCTCTCTAGTTTAGCCGATGTGGTGTGGAAATTACGGTTCTCTTCCTAATGTTCTGCTTTGCAAAAGGTGTAGACACCCAGCTCAGGTTTGTGATTTATCCTTTTCGAGCTACACGTTAGTAGGCATTTTTCCAAGGGAGTGCGTCTCACAATAAAGTCCTTTTTCTTCCCATCTGGGTGTTTGTATCCCTTAAGAGCGAGTTACCCTGCAAAGGACCTCATGGTTTGCTCAGTCGGACTGCCAGAGATGCAATCAGCGGAAGATGGTGGTTAGTTGCAAAAAACCCATGACATTTACTGGACTTCTTTCATTCGCGGGACACAAAATCCTGTTATGGTCTTCAACGTGCCAACAGGATGTCTTTCCTGGAAACGGTTGTGGTTCCCCCAAATCCTTTTTTCCCCACCTGAGAAAATAATGCAACCATGAAGGCAAGTTTCCAGTTCAGGGTCCCTTTGTCCAAAAAAACAAAATATCCACAAAACACAGCCCAGCTTTAGTTTCGGCCACGATGGGCAGATGAAATGGGAGGGCTTTGGATGGCTGCAAGGGTGGAGATAGCTGGGAGCCACAAATATTTAAAATGTGTGTAAGAAGCAGACACACACACACACACAAGATACACGCTCACAGATTCCTAGGCAACTGACTCAGTTTTGTTAAGAGCTCTGATTTGGAGAAAACCTCTGTTCCAGTGAAATTCCATCACATAAGGGGGGGGGGGAACTGAATTGCCAGGAGAGAAGCTTGGAATTTGTTAAGAGTTATTGGGAATTAAAGAGGAATTGGAGGAGAGAGAGAGAATTCACACGATCATGCAGTCCACCTTCAGCCCCCAGCTGGCTTGCTTATGTGCCCTAACCCTCTCTTTCACTGTATCTCCAGCATGGCCGCAGACCCTTCCCAAGAAGACTGGGACCAGCAAGAACAGCAAAAGCCCCGGATGTTGCGAAGAGCTAAAAAAGCTGAAGGTCCAAGTGGCCAATCTCTCCTCCATATTAGAAGAGATGAGCAAGAAGCAGGACAACATCCTGGGACAGGCCGTCACGCAGGTGACGGCCCTGGAAGGGAGCATCAAGCTGATGGACGCCCGCCTGAACGACATGGAAGGGAAGTATTCGGAGATGAATTCCCAACTCGGCCTTGTGCAGCTCCAGGCGGTTCAGACGGTCACCCAGACGTCCACAGGTAAGAAGAGGATTCACCTTCCCCGGAGGTGTCGTTTGCTAATGCAGAAAGAGCAGCGTCAGCCATCAGATCTTGGCTCCCAGGAATATATCAAATAGAACTGGGGTGGGTGGGTGGGGAGGATTAAGAGATGAACCTTAAGAAGGAGCTCCATTGTATAGGTGTTTATTGTGAACCTGACTGAAGTCTGAACTTTGAGGAGGATTCCCATCTTCTGGAACAGGTGGTGAATTCACAAGAGACGTTTCAGCCCCTTTCTTCCGTCTCTTGCTAGCCTAAATAAAACTATTATTTTATGCAACTAGCAGGGCTGGGCAGAGCAAGCCCTTCAATGCAGCCCTTGACTCAAAGCGTGAGCTTCCAGGGTTTATACTGATTTAAAAGAACAAGGTGTCAAGCTTCCTTTTGATGCCACTTTGGAATCACAAAATCCAAACTCATTTAATTGCCAACCCTTGCTCGCCGTTTCAAAGCACTATTGGTTTGTTTGTTTTCTTGAAGACTCCGAAGCTGGTGAATCCAGACAACTGCTCAGATTTCCAAAGAATCGCACTCCTTCTCTTAACTGTCTATTCTGGACAACTGTATTAAGTAAATTTCTCGTGCCAGTATTCAGCCTGTACTGAGGTTGCCCTTCTAAAACAGGACGAAGTGTTCCTACACATATATTTAGGGGTGTGTGTGTGGGGGGGAAGTTTAGCATGTATTCTTCTTCTTGTGCCCTATCCGTTATCGGACGTTGGCGATCCTGTTTTTATCAGCAGCCGCACGAAAAAGTGCTGCTGAGTTTTGTCCAAATCAGCTTCTTAGATTTTGAAGCCATGATGTTCTTCTTCTGCCTGGACCTCGTTGGCCTTCCATCTTTCCCTGGAGGATTAAATGGAGTAGGCCGTATTTTTCTGGGTGTCGCATCACATGTCCGAAATATTCTAATTTTCGTTTTTTTAATTGTTTTGATGATTTCCCTTGGCTTTCCCAGGCAGCTGATCACCTCCTCATTTTTGATCTTGTCAACCCAGCTTATACGTAACAGCCGCCTGTAAATCCACATTTCAAACGCTTCTAGTCTCTTCAGGTGGTCTTGTGTCAGAGACCAACTCTGTACTCCATAGAGCAGGATAGAAAAAAATATAGCACCTGAGAAGCCTGATTTTCAGTCTTAGGCTTATGTCATGACTGCAGAAGACCTTTTTCATTCTGAAGAATGCTGCTCGGGCTTTTTCTATCCTTGTCTTTACTTCAACGGTCATGTCCCAGCTTTCGTGTAAATTGGAACCGAGGTGCGTGATCCTTTCAACTTTTTCTAGTGGTATTCCTTCTGAGTTTATTGGTGGTAAATTAGCATGTATACTTAGTACTTATATTTGGTACGTGCTTATATCCAAGGCCTATAAATGCCCATCCTTAAAATGGTGACACACATATTCTTTCTGAGGCAGACACACAAGACGGATAGGTTACATAAATTGGAAACCTTGCTCCTTCTCCATAAAGACATTACATAGAGAATCGGAGCAAATATATATTTAAAATAAAATAATACATAGGCTCTCTAAAGAGGCACCCTAGTGTCAGAATCCAATTATATTTCATCTCTAGCTATCGACTATGGAAAACCCCATTTCTGCCCTCTCTGGATTCTATCATACTACAAAGGGGAAGGGGGATGAGCAAAGGGGTTTTATGGCTCTCACTTCCTTCATTAAAACTTCAAAGGGACTGAATGTGGATCTCACCAAGGGGACTGACCATAACAATATGGCCCATCAGCTTTCATCTACTACTCTCTGAAGTCTCCCTTCTGCAGGTCGAGAGGAAAAGGGGGTGGAAATGTAACGCCTGGGATTGTCGCTGGAAGGATGGTGGGGTGGGGGCTGCTTGGGAACACTTAAAACCTTGAATGGTAGGGGCTGGCCCCTCATATCCTGTCTAGAATGCCTGCAACCATCTTATCTTAATAAAGATTCCTGTTGGAAGAAATATTCTAAGAGTTCTGTCTTCTTAAGATGCAAAGTGGGGTGGGTCCTTACACCCAGAAGCCATTTAGGCATCGTTTTTATTCCCAGCTGGATTTTGTTTTATTGGCTGAAATTGCAACACAGTAAGTCAACGGGAATAGTTGCACGTGTGTTTCAAATTTCTGGATGCAAAGAAGGGATGGGGGGGGGGAGAAACCTAGGTTTTCCCAACAGTTGGGAATAATTTAACCTACTGTGCTTTTATTTTTCTGGTTCAGACGCTGTGTACGACTGTTCGTCCCTCTATCAGAGAAATTACAGATCTTCTGGCATCTACTATCTTCCCCCTGATGAATTTCTGGGAAGTCCAGAATTGCAAGTAAGACGTTACATGCCCCGTGAGAAGAGAGGGAAGGCAAGAAGCCACGCAAGGTTTAGGATTCCTATAGATTTAGAAACGGTGTCGATCTTAGAGGAACCACCCCCCCCTCCCAGTTGTGTACAAAACAGCAACAGCTCTATGGGATGGAATTAGGTTTAAGTCACTTTGACTTGCTATTTTACACCTTCCCCAAAACGCCGTGCAACTTTTCGGTGCCTTCCCATTCTAGGCAAGGTATTTTTGCTCTGCCAAGAGAGGTAGATGGGTTGCTTGAATATATGCTGGAAACATCCAATACGGAAGTGACGCTGATATTGGCGGTCTCGGTAAATGACCCACTGTGCCTGCCTGAATGTCTGAATTTGCTCCTCTTTTCACCTTCCCAGGTATACTGTGACATGGAGACCGATGGAGGAGGTTGGACTGTTATCCAGAGGCGGAAAATTGGCTTGATTTCTTTCAGCCAAAGTTGGAAGCAGTACAAGGAGGGGTTTGGAAGCCCGCAGGGAGATTTCTGGCTGGGAAATGAGCACATCCATCGGCTTTCTAGGAGGCCAAGCACGCTTCGGGTGGAGCTGGAGGCAAGTACAGTAGCTTCTTCACCTGCTTGGCCGTCCTTTGGCTGACCCCCTCGGTTAGACCCCTGGGGTGTTGCAACGTTCCAGAGGAAAGGGACTTGAAAACAATTAGAAACGCTTCAGGGGAAAGCTAGGATGGGTTGTCGAAGATGGTCTAATAATGCCAGTTTGGTCATGGCATATGTCCACCAAACTCAAGCAGCCTAGACTGTAATTAGGCTGCATAGCTGTTTTCCTTGGACAGTGTCAGGACAATGATTCAACAGCTAAACAGCTAATGTAAAGATGTAATGTAATGTGGATGATTGCAGTAGAGGAATGACTCAGAAGGTGTGTGTATCCCTTTAAGAGCCTGAGTATAAAAGGGAAGTTTTTTTGCTGGAGTTTTTCTCTCTCGTCCATTTGACTGCTGTAACTGCTGTGTATTAGAGTTTGCTGTTGCACCATGTGTACGTATTCTGTTTCCAGTGTATATTTGTAGATAGTGTGTTATAAACCACTATTTAATCACAAACCACCGTGTACCGTATTTATTCCTGGGGTACTTCAGCGCAATAAGACGGTGCATGCTCTGACAGGCAGCACTGGCTAACTGTGGACAGTACATGAAAAGAATGGATTCCGTTGCACGTTACTCTATTTAATAAATCCTGAAAGTGTTATCCAATCTAAGGCTTAATGCACAAAGTGATGGTTAGTTTCAGCTTAGCAGAGCACATTCCTTTGTGGCTGGTGCACAAGAAACATGTAAAACATCAGTTCAATGAAGAAGTCATTTCCTCCCCTGAGAGCTTGGTGAAAGCACCAATATTTCAGGTAAATGTTTCCCTAAATCAAGCATAAATAAGGAGCGTCTCCTTAATGTTCTTCTGGCCCTGCAGGATTGGGATGGCAACAGCGTTTTTGCTCAATACAGCCGATTTGCGGTAGGCAATGAGCTGAGCAGCTACCGCCTCTTCCTGGCTAACTTCAGTGGCAGTGCGCCACGCGACTCCATGCGGTACCATAACAACACGGCCTTCAGCACCATGGACAAGGACAACGACAAATGTGTCGATCACTGTGCGCAGTTACGCAAAGGTCAGTCTTGTACAAAACCTCCTCTTCCTATATCAAGGCTACTTAAGCAGGATCACTGTCCCCTTTTGTATTTGAAGAACTCTTCCCAAATTCTATGTAGGGACAGCCATCCGTTCCTTAGCCCAGTTCCACCTGATTGTTCAGACCGACGTTGCTTGCCCAGTTTTCAGAAAGGCAAATCTTCCTCAGTGTTGATTGCTCTGTTCTTCGAATTTCCCAATTTCTCTTGTAAATAGCCTTTGGGGGTCCTCTTCCTGCTCCATTATGCTCCATCAGCTACTTCGCAGTGGCAGAAAACAAACTCCTCCACGTGGGAGGAGCTGACTGGTGTCATTTTCAATTGTGAACGTTCAGGCGACGGCCGTCTCCCTGATGCTTTGCAATTTGTTGACCCTCAGCCAGAGATCCGTTGACGATGAGGACCACTATCTTGGCGTTACAAGAGGGCCTAGAAATCTCTCGTCTTCCTCTTTCTCCACAGGTGGTTACTGGTACAACTGCTGCACCGACTCCAACCTGAACGGGGTTTACTATCGTAAGGATGATCATAACAAGAACACCGATGGCATCACCTGGTACGGCTGGTATGGCAAAATATATTCCCTGAAGAGGGTCGAGATGAAGATCCGGCCAACAGACTTCAAGGCCGAGAGGGACCCCAACAGAGTCAACTAAGGAGATGATGCCTCCTCTAAACCAGGGACCACAGGGGGAGACAGAATGTCAAGAATGAGCTTATATACGAAGAATGCACTTCATCAGTAGCAATGTAGATGCTCACCTCTTTCAGTCTCCACCTGAAGGTTTCTGGATCTTTCCGATGACAACGTTCTCTGTCGGGATGTTGACATCTCCCCCTGAATTAACTTAGGTTTGCCTTTATGTCCTTGCTGGACTGGAATCTCGGGGATGACAGGGATAGAAGCTACGTCAGATTTTTTTGCCAAACATATTGCATAGGTTGATTCCTCCACATCAGAAGCTTATGGAAATCAGATGCTTAGGAGAATTTTTTTTATTTGTTTGCAGCTGTAAACCAATCAGTGCTCTGTATAAACCCCTTTATTTTCCTCTGTAGTATAATAAAGTCCTCTTGATTTTAAAACTGAGTTTGAGGCCGAGGGTATAATCCTCGGAACAAAAATGTTTCCAGTCATGCAGAATTTCTGGAAATGCCAACCAACACTGGAGGGGAGGGGTTGCTAATCTGGTGTCAATGTTGTGAAGAATCTGAGGTTGCAAAGGAACCTCTGGTTACTGGCAGAGGAGAGCTATACATCTTTCTTCCAGTGACAATGGAGACCCCCCCCCCCCCGCCAAAACAAACAAACAAAAAAAAAACCCCTCCTGGATAATATCAACTGGATATTGGTGCTGAGGTTTTTGTCTCTGTCTACTTACTGTACAAAGGGAAGGACAGAATTTAACATGAATGTTTTCCATGCGATGTTGTGTTTCCTGTTTGAAAAAATAAAATCTCCATTTTCTTCCTTAACTCTGAACAAATTTCCCTAAGCGAGTACCAGATGCAAATGTTGCCAAACAGGATGCCTAGATACCTCCAATCCTTGCTCTTGGGATTGTCTCAATAAAGGACTTTCATTCTGGACAAATGGCTATAAAGTCTTTTCTTAAAACCTTCAGTGATGGAGCACCCACATCTGAAGGCAATAAACAATGGTTTATTATTCTTACTGTCAGAAAACTCCTTAATTCCAGGTTGCGTCTTTCCTTGACAAGTTGCCATCTGCTGCTTCTTATCCTGCCTTCAGGGGCTTTGGAGAATAGCTTGACTCCCTCTCTTCTTTGGGGCAGCCCCTCAAATATTGGAACACTGCTATCCTGTCACCCCCTCACTGTCCTTCTTTTCACTAGGCTAGACATACACAGTTCTGCAACCGTTCTTCATACGATTTAGCCTCCAGCCCTCTTTGCTAATCATCTTTGTTGCTCTTTTCTGCCCTCTTTCCAGATTCTCAACATCAATATTCTTCCAGAGAAACAGTAGTTGTCTTCTCTGTCAGGTGAGCTTACCAACCAAGAGAGCAAAGGGGGAAACAGCCTACCTGATGAGAGACTCAAGGATGGCTGGAGTGGGCCCCTTCTGAAATTCCAGCTCTTTGTAGTGTAGCGCCTTGGCGTAGGCTCGGCACTTGGCAGCCCGCTCTCCCAATAAGACGATGCCGTTATCGTCCCCCAATGGCAGCGGACCCTGTGCAGAGGAAGCCAGACAAAACATCAGGGCTGTGATGGAGTGCAAGTTTCCAGGGCAATCTAGAGAACATTATGTAAGCAACTAGATGTAAGCTTATCCATGAGCCCTGGTGGCACAGTGGTGATGGTTGTTGTTATTACCTGTCTATCTACTGTCTATCTACTTGCACAGAATACGCTTTCGAACTGTTAGGTGGGCCGAGGCTGAGGCGAGGGATGGGAGCTCACCCTGCCACGCAGTGCTAGAGCTCAAACCGCTGGAGCTGAGACTACCTCCAGCGTCATTAAGCCTCTTGACGCAGTGGTCAGAAGGCAGTACTGCAGGCTGACTCTGCCTACTGCCAACAGTTCGACCCTGAGTGGCTCAAGGTCGACTCAGCCTCCCATCCTCCCGAGGTGGGTAAAATGGGGACCCAGATTGTTGGGGGGGCAGTTTGCTGACTCTGTAACCCACTTAGAGAGACCTGTAAAGTAGTGGCCCCCAACGTTTTGGGCACCAGGGACAGGTACCGTGGAGAGACATTTTTCTGTGGACCAAAGGGGGCGTGGTTTTGTGTGCTGCTCGCATCCTGCATATAGGGCTTCGCTTGTTTGCGGGGGCCTAGTTTCTGGCATGCTGCAGCCCAGTGCCGGTCCATGGACTGGGGGTTGGGGACCCCTACTGTAAAACACCATGGGGTGGCATATAAGTCTAAGTGCTATTGCTATTTCTGCATTATCAGCCAAGTCTCCTGCCTCTTCGCAAGACCAGTGCCAAGCTGTTCAAAAGGAGGTCAGAAAACCTCCGCCCCCAACGTGCTTTACCTTGTCACTGTGCTCCATGAACTCGGCCAAATTGAGCAGGGTCTGGGTGACTTCGGCAATGTCCTGAGACGTCAGCGCCAGCTCGATGCTACGGATCAGCTCGTCCTGCTGGTCTTCGTTCAGCTCAGACCAGCATGAAACAAAGGCGGCGTTAAACAGATCTCTGAGGAGGAGGCGGGGGAGAAGCAGCAGGAAAGGGGGAACATGGAGAATGGAACAGTAAGTCTGCCAGTGTTGCACATACCACTTTGCTGATCATTACTGAACCCCCAGCCACATCTCGTTGGCGTCCATAGTTGCAGAGGGGAGAATGTCTAATAGGAATACCCATCAGACCTGGGAACTAGAAAAGTGTCCTTCTCCAACTACCCCTTATTGCTCTTTCAGCATTCAAACAATTTTTTTTCTATCCAGTTTGCTATCTTCGGTAAACCTTTTACTGATGTACATCACCTATTCCCGCCAGCTTTCAAGCACTGGGGCGCAACTCACAATCCTTCACACTGGTTTCCCCATCAAGCACAAGTACTTAGTCTTGGACAGGTTAACCTTCAAAGGCACAGCAGGCGACCGATTTAACCTTTGCTGCAAAACATTCACGTTCTCGCCCAAATACCCAGGCACATCGGCCTCTAAAACATCACATCCCGAACATCGTCCAGGTTGTGGTTGTCCCACAGGTGCTTTTCCAAGAGGCAATTGGGCTTTTTTGTGGAAGAGGGAAGTCACATCATAGGAAACCGTGGTCTCATTTGGGTCTAGTGTTAGCTTCCAAGCCTTGCTGGCAAAGTCCTGTGAATTGTTGATGGGACGGGTGGTGTTGCCAACTAGAGCAGCTAATAAGGGGGTTAGACGTTTCGCAACGTTGTAGGGTGACAAGAGTCGGCGCTGCTGACCATTGGTCTGAAGTGGAGTTCCCCCTTTGTGGATTTTGGGGAGTCCAGCTGGCTCTTGAAAAAGCACGTTTGGGCGTCACATCCCAAACCAAAGCACGTCTACTCTCACACACACGCTTCCCTTAAACGTTTTTGTAACACCTGCATTAAGCAACTGAGGGGATCCTTCTCTGCCTTCTCCCTGATTGGTGTGGAATTTCTACCTGGCCATGGGGTTGTAGGCCTGAGCCAAGGCCCAGCATGAGCGCAGCGAAGGCGACGAGGAATCTTTCAACAATTCCAGGCTGAGCCGTCTTAACCACTCCAACCAATCGTCCTTGGAAACTCTTCGGGCTGCTCCCCAGGCCTAGAAGACAAAGCGTCCTTCTGTGAGTCGCTGCGACCAGCTACTCATCAGGGCCAGAAAATCTGACAGTGGGGGGGGGGGAACTCCGCTTCTGCGGCTCTGAAAGCACCCCCAAAACCACGTGGCTGAAGTTCGGTGGAAATTTTCCGGCGTTCGACGGGCTGCTTTGCGACGGTGCAAGGAGTTGGAAGGTGGGGGTCACATGACGGCAGATAGGTATGACCTAGAACAGTGGTGGCGAACCTATGGCACACGTGCCAGAGGCGGCACTCGGGAGCCCTCTCTGTGGGCACATGTGCCATTACCCCAGCCTCGCCTCCCCCCACGACCCCCTCTTCACCAGCAGCCCCCCTGGAGGAGAGCTGCCCCTGAGCGTGGCCCACACGGAGCAGCGCAGCCAAGGACATGGCAGCCAGGCAGTGTAGACAAGACACTGCCCTCATGCCCCATCGCGCACAGTTGATGCTGTGGGGTGTGGGCAGAGGGTGTGGCTGCCATGCGCTGCTGGGCTGCCTGGGCGATCTGGCCCTGGAGGAAGTGAGTGGCCCTGCGGGCAGGCAGGGTGGGAGCGGGACAGGGAAGGGGGTGGAGCAGGGGTGGGGCCAGTTTTTGGGCACTTGGTCTCTAAAAGGTTCGCCATCACTGCCATAAAGCATCGGAAACTCGTTTCTGAAGATTGCTGCTAATCTTGCAAGGCGTGTCTCTGCCTAGCGCAGCCCCACGGTTTACCTTCTGTAAATTGATGGTGCTGACGTGCAGCTTCTTCATGGGCCCCGTTTCAACCGGGCCGCTGGCAAGGGCCTCTCCTTGGCTGCTCCTCTGCATGCGGTGCTGGTAAATCAGGGGGTCATCTTCTTCATCAGCAAGAGTGTAGCCCTGATGCAGAGCAGAGCAGCTATTCAGCAAAACCAAATCTAGTTTTATATTTGGGTAGCACCGCTGCGCGCTTGTGGCCGAATGGAAAGGGTGCGATTTGCCCCTTTCTCGTATAAAAATGGAAGGCGCATGATGGTCTTAAAGTGAAATTCAGGTGCATTGATAAGCTCAGGGCAGGAGCAGAGAGGAGAGACAGGTGTCCTTCAAATAAAGGGGTCGCCCTGCCATCTCCTCCTGCTTCTTGGGGATTCACTGACCTTCACAATCCTGCAGATGAGGACGTCGTACCGCTGGTGATTGATCCTGTGACGCATCAGTACTTTGTTCACCATCGGGATAAAGATCTGATACTGCAGGGGTGAGAAGGAGAGTTAGCACCCCGGAGAACAAAAGCAGCCGAAGAGAAAAGCAGCTCGGAGCCAACGGCAAGAGTGGAATTTTTAAAAATTAAATCTGCACCGGGAGATGTCCTGAGATCTAACATACCACATTCAATACCTGCTTTCCGAAACAGCTGGAGGAAAAATCATTAAAAAAAAAATTAATAGTAGATGGTTACATTTAACCAAGTTTGTCTTTCCGCTGTGGAATAATTTACAGCTCTTTGTTATGGTGTTAATTTTTTGGCCAAAGCAACCGTCTCAATTTTCAAGCGTCACTGATCCAGTTAAAGAGGTAGTTTCATATTTTGCAACAACAAAAAACAAAAACCTAGAGGATAGAATCACTATTTCATTTAAAGCTACACAATCTAATGTCTATAGAAGCTAAAAGTTCAGAGTTACAGTGTCACTTTCCCAATCACCTAAGGAACTATTTACAGAATACAGAATAACAGAGTTGGAAGGGACCTTGGAGGTCATCTAGTCCAACCCCCTGCTCAGGCAGAGAACCCTACACCATTTCAGACAAATGGCTGTCCAGTCTCTTCTTAAAAACTTCCAGTGTTGGAGCATTCACAATTTCTGGAGGCAGGTTGTTCCACTGGTTTATTGTTTTAACTGTCAGGAAGTTTCTCCTCAGTTCCAGGTTGCTTCTCTCCTTGATTAGTTTCCATCCATTGCTTCTTGTCCTGCCTTCAGGCGCTTTGGAGAATAGCTTGACTGCCTCTTCTTTGGGCAGCCCCTGAGATATTGGAAGATTGCTATCATGTCCCCCCTCGTCCTTCTCTTCATTAAACTAGACAGACCCAATTCCAGCAGCCATTCCTTATATGTTTTAGAATAAGTTAAACCCCCCCTTCTTTGTGGCAGCCCCTCAGATATTGGATCACTGCTATCACATCACCCCTAGTCCTTCTTTTCATTAAACCAATTCCAGCAACCCTTCTTGATACATGTTTTAAAGGAAAGGAGTTAAATTCAGCCAAGCCAGGATCTCTCCCTGGAAAAATAATGCCCTTCTCACCTTCTTCCCCAGCTGGAAGACCAAGGAGGAGAGTGTGTCCATGGCAGTGGTCCGAAGCTCCGGGCTCTGGTCGAGAGTTCGCACGATGGGATGGATAATCCGCGAAGCGTAATCCGTGAAATCGAGGGACTCCGTCAATCGGTCCACGGTTTCTAAGGCAGCTCTGCGAAAAGGGAAAAACAAAGCACTGTTAATTGTAAACACACACACACACACACACACACACACACTGGACACAGATAACCCAAAAGAGAGGCAGGTTTGGACATCCTTCAAGAAAATTAAAAGTATTTGAACACTACCGGCAGCGTCTTTTATTTA